CTGAAAGAACAGGAAATAAGCTCATTAAAGGCAGTGCATGTAACAGGTTTTCTCATAACCACTGCAACTTGCAATCTGGCATGAAACCAAAGGCAACTTTTGCTGTGCAAGAAGAAAGAATCAGCAACATATTCTCAGACTAGCAAAAAGTTCTTGAACTCACTCACACTGGGGAGTGATAAAAGTCTGAACACCATGCCAGTACAACAAACTGTTCCCTCCAATTCAATCATTAAATAACACATGAAAATGTTCATAAAGAGAGGAGCAGAGAATATGAGGAATTTTTATTCTGTGCCTAGAAAAGAAGATGAAACATGCAGACTCTGAACTTTAACCTCACTAAACTAAAGAAGGCAATTACAAAGGTGACAGAGAACAGGACACATCCATAACAGAGCTCCACAGGCATCCAATGCATTCTAATCTCAAACATCCTAATTCCCATTTTGCATTATAAATCCCAGAAATTCTTCTGGTCAGGAGTTGAAACACCTTCGGTGGAAAGAGGTATCCCTACTGTCCTTCGGAAAGATCATGTCTCACCTCCCTGAGCCATTCAGGCACCATGCTGGACAGGGGATATCTGTCAGGGGCACATAACTCTGTAACACACTCCTCAGCCTAAACACACTAACTATCCACTAAAGAATGATAAAACAGAGACATGCTGTAGGAAAGATTTTTTTTTTTTTGTATAATCTTAAGGATTCACAAAGACCTGGCTATATTCTCATTTCTTTCCTTGTCCTGCTATTCCACAGACATCTGACAAAGAGTAAAAATATTTTATTAAAACTGCTTTTCCATTTTGACATTCTTATGGAATTTGCCGCCCCAAAAAAGTATTCTTTAACTCTTGAGATTATTAATACCAGGTTTGCAATTTCTCATAAAAGGACTGCATGCTTTGTTGATTTTTCTACCACTCAAGATGAAAGTAAAAATTTCATATTCCACTGCACATTTTAACAGCAATGATTCTTACACTATATATACATACTCTTATATAAATAGTATATATTTATATTATATATACTATATACATAAATCAATATTCTTATAATAATTTATGTATTTTATCTCATATAATCCGCCTGCCTGATACAGCTTTTTCTAAATTCTGAAAGACTACTATCTCCTTATGCACTGCTTCTACTCAGACAGATGGAAACAAATATATGGACTATTGTCTTTTAATATTAAAAAAATCCTAAAAATTTATAATTAATTCTCTCCCAAAGAGTCCTACTTGATTTTCACCACTGTCTGTGTGGGTGATTTGGAGATGTTTAAGGGAAGCCACTGTTCTGTTGCAGAATGAGTCCCAAACATAGCTAATGTGTTAACTGGCTGTCATGAGAGAAACATGAGAGAAGCACACATCAGGTTTAGTGTGCATGTCCCTGTTTAGTTTAGGCCTAGCATACAGGATAGCACTTAACCTGATCAGATTATATTTGCATGACAGATACTTACGATGCTTAAAACATCTTTCTATTGTCATGACTATGTTCTGACAGAATTGTCTCTTTTGTTGAAGAATGCTCTCAACATTGCACAAATAAAATAGATCCTTCTGACACAATCCACTAAGTCCTTCATCTTGCTTTCTTATTAAGCTTTCTTTTTTTTCCTAGTCACCAACAGTGACTAAAAGTATCATTGACTTTTTAACTTTCCCCTGTTTTCTTGGAGAACTATTTACTGGCTTTCATTCCTAGTGAAAAAAACTTCTCATTTAACAAATGCATCATATTCTGTAGTCAAATCACTACCAACTCTTTTTACTTTCATCATTTGGCTTAATTCAGAAAATTTCATGCTTCACGTAAATCACTTTTTTCTAACTCAAAATTATTCCTTATTGAATAAACTAGAGTCACTTCAGTCAACAAAAATAAAGTAAAAAGATTCTAACCCTCCTTTGGTAGTTTACATTATTTATCCACTTGTAAAGTGGTGTGATTCTGATGCAAATGAAATACATTTTTAACTTATGTTTTCTCTTCTAATAGAAAATTACTCCAAAAGGCTAGAAATGTTCCTATTTGTGTAAGTGAACTTTCAATTACTGTAATCCCACAAGAACTGTACATGTGTGTATATATATATATGCCCGTGTTCATTCAGAGCAAAATTGAACCCATTAGTCAGTGCTTCACTTTGTTCTTGTTGGAACTGCCATTCAGGTGCTTTGATAAAACAAGTATATCAAGATCTTTTGGGATAACAATTCAGAAATGTTCATTCTCAGCTTTTAGTTTGGATCCAGGCTGGAAATATATTTCAAATCTCACTGAACCAGATTTATGGCATAATGTAATAGATGATTCACCAATACTTTTACTTGTGCCAGACTGAGACATAAACCCTAAATCAGCAATCAGTGACAGGTTTGGTACTGCATTGTCTATCTTAAAAAAACAAAAAATGGAAACAAAACAAAACGTCTCCTCAGGATATTAATGTGGTTGTGGAGATGCAGCAGTACCATGATACCAATACTAACATGGAAACCTTAATTTCCATATTTATATAAATTATCTACTGTAGCTTTTGTTAACACATGAAGTTTCCTTGAGTTCCTACATGCAGTCTGAAATACAGACAAAAAATATCAAATACTACCTTATTTTATTTCTGAAGTTCAAAGGAAATGGTATTTTCCATGCAAAAACTGTAACTGCTAAACTGTAAACTGGATAAAAGTCAGGGTACACAGTGATTCACATTTTAAGCAACTGTGTGTTTGAGTTTGCCATTCATATGTTCTGAATATGTTTTGAGATACACACTGGAAGTGTGTCTCTGTGCATGTGTGTGTGTGTGTGCTGTCATAACCTATCTGCCCAAGCATGGACTGTCTTGAAAGATTAAGTGCACCTATTTTGAACTGGAGGCTGCATGCCATAATTTTTAGCTAACCCGTTTCCTTCTTAGTGAAAACAGAAATAAAAATATATTGTGCACACTTCATTGCTAGAACCTTTGACCTCAGCTGCCTGTCTAGCTGAGACTGTGATGAATGCTTTGTGTCTCTTCATTTTTAATTGCTCATAAATTGTTATCCCATGAAACACAAAACTAGCCTTGTCCTCATTTTAGTAGGGGTTGGAGGTCAGCCTAACAGTAATACAATTAAGGAGTGTCTTTGTGTGGGGGTGTGGGAGTGAAGAGGGCAGGAGGGTTACAGAAGGTTGTGGTAGTGAAAGATGTATTCCTGTCCAAGGCAATACAAAGCAAATTCCACACATTCAAACAAAAGTCTTTAATGTTCAACAGTGTTGAGAAAAGCTTCTGGGAGGGCATTTAGAAGGGCAATAAAGTACACATCATCTTCTACATCTGTATAATCATTCTTAAACATACATGTACACATGGTTATATATGATAGCACTGATCTTCTCTTTGCAATGGCAGATTAATCCTGAGGGTCAAATTTTACTCAGGCATGAATGTTCTGATTTACTGATTTCAGAAAATATAATAGGCTACCTTTGACTCTTCTGTAAAATAATCTAAACCACATCTGTGGAGATAACTCTGCAGAGTTACTCTCCTCTCCATAATCTTCTTGTGGTTGTCACACACTTCCTTCCTGTTCTTGAAAAGCTGGACTACGCTTAATTCAAATAATATGCAGTATGCCACAACACAAAAATACCTTCCACTTTCAAAATGCCTGATAACAAATAATAAACTCTTAGCTCAGTGAGAAAAGGGATCTTGCGGTACCCAGTAAGGGCATTAGGGATCCTACTTTTGATTTTGGTTGAATTAATATGAAAATAAAGCAAGCTTTCTGAATTTTCTTTTGCCTCACACCACACATAATTCTGTTTAACAAAAGGCATTGATCTTTTGGTAATTGAGTATGTCTTCAGATTCCTACACATAAAACCATTCTGGTAATACTGGTTTCTTGTTGAGGTTACTATAGGCATTTTGTTCCAAAACCCATAACATTCCTTGTTTTCCTATTTAGGTCTAAGAAAATGTGGCATCTGTTGCTAAGCCACCAAGTTCTCAGCAACCCGTCATAGACCTCAGAAACAGACTTCTCCAGTCCTTTACACAGGCTAACTCCAACAGCTGTTTATAAAACACTAATAATATAGCATTTAGCACCCAGTGGTGAATTCTTCCTGGAGGACAGAAAATTCAACCACTTAGTCATAGCATAATGGCTGCTACCCGCTCACATAGATTCCAGCAGTCCAGACAGCAGAAAGTTTTAGTCTCAGTAAGTGACACACTGCTGATTTTGGCAGCCTAATTATCTGTACCTCCTCACCTGCATGCTCACCAGTGACCTGCTATCACACTTCCACAAAACATCCCACAGTTTCATCAGATATTGCATAGAAAGAGATGCAACATGTTACTATGGGAAGCTCCTAGAGTCGCATGATAAAAATATGAACTGGATTTCCAGGATATTCAGTTTTGCCTCAGAACTAAGTCTGGGTCTTTTTTTTTATACTGAAAAGTATTTATTTTTCAGTCACTAACATTTTATCATTTTACTTCATAGATTATTAATTACTTTCTCATGAGCACTAATGCAGTGCTATTAGGAAAGAGAACAGAAGCTATTGCAGAATATTGTTTTCCCTCTAATGAGGGATTCCTTCTTGCTTTAGCTATACAAAGTGCTAGTAGTTAAAATTACAAATGGTCCCACTAAGGTTAAATTGTATTTCAGGTCTTTTGTAAAATGAATTCTCACTTTAGCAGATGAAAAATGGGGTGGAAAAATATGTATTTCTCTGATACATGGGGTCTATCACATTATGCTGTAATGTTTATCATGACTTCTGTAAGGCTTATCCTTTTACTTTAAAAATCCATTCCTTAAGTCTGATGATCTATGAGATTCATAGCTTCCTTGCTCAAAATGTAAAGCCATGGTAACATCCCTTGGAACCCAATATCAGTTGTGCCCCATGAAGTTCTTCTTCCATGAGAAGCTAGACAGCTTGCATTTTAAAACTGAG